GAAAATTAAATAGAACAACTGAATAGAAAAACTGTTTGTATTTTGAGAACGATTTCCGAAGTGGAAATTGAAACGTCAATAAACGTATTTTTTATTTTTAATTGTGGCTTATTCCCAGTTAAATAGTAATTAATTTAAAATGCCACAAGAAAATAGCTTCAGAACAATATTAAGAAGCCTCTATAATTATCACACACCATCATATCTCCCTTTTTGTGAAGAGAATAGACCTAATTTCCAGTCTGCGGGCGTTTCCTTCCGTTGTCAGATTTCGGTTAATTTATGCATGTGTTTAAAAAGGGTGTCACCATCATTTTTTAAGGGTTCTACAGGAAGATTGTGCAAACCAGAGGCTTTGATATTTTTAAGTTTTGAAATGGCTTCTCTAATTTCTTCTTCGGTGGGGGGCGGCCATTCTTGAACGTTTTCATCCATTTCAGGCAAAGTAATTTCTATTTGGTCTTCTATTCTCTAAGCAGTTCTTCAAAATGATTCGCCCACCTGTTTAGTATCTGTTCTTTATCACTAAAGCTCGGATTATAGGCAAAATGCCTTTTTTTGCCTATTTTGCCTATTATAAGTGTTTTTTGCACTTTTTGCCTTTTTTCGTAAATTCCGCCTATTTGTGCCTTTTTTAAAATTTCATGGTACTACCCATGATATTATTCTATTACTAAACCATTCTATAATAAAATTTTGGGTCAATAATAAAATATCAATGGTTTGTTTATATAATAGATTTCTAGGAAAATGTACCTGATCGAGACTTGAGGGTTAACTATTTGGAAATCCCTAAGCTTTATTAGTTTATTATCAGTTGTACAGTCGGTTACTGTATCAGAGTTTACTCACAAATTAGCAAATTGCTATATCCTAGTTTAGTTTTGTTGCGTATACCGAAAAGCAAAGAACACGTTTTAAAACGTTCAAGACAGTTGTGTGAAAAGATGACATCTAAATTAAGGCTATGGATCGCACCTTATTCGGAACTTTCTCTAGAAGGAGATGGAGCATTTTGTAAACCATGCGGCAAATCGGTAAGTTTTATTTTTTTTTTTCTTTTTTTTCTCGTCCCACAACATAACTAAATTCTAAAGCGGTTTTAGAATTCTAATTATTTTTTTTTAATTCTCAGATTTCAAGTAGAAAAAAGTACTTTATTGACCAGCATTGTGGAACCCCACTTCATAAACGTAATTTGGAAAAATTAAATTCCTCTAAGTTAGCCCAAACATCTCTGCGGGATAGTTTAAGCAGTTCAAAAAAAAAGGAGGAAGACGCATTTAAATTTGATTTATGCCAGATGATGATTGCATCCAACATTCCTCTATATAAAGTTAATAACCCTAGTTTTAAACGCTTTTTTGAAAAATATCTTAATAAATCCTTACCGGACGAGAGTACATTGAGAAAACATACTGTGGAAAAATGTTATGTGGAATGTATTTCAAAAATTAAGCACGAGTTGGAGGGCAATTTTTTGTATATTATCGTGGATGAAACGACAGATGTATGCGGCAGGTATATAGCTAATTTAATGATTGGAATTTTGAACGAAAACTTTGCGAGAAAACCTTATTTAGTTGCCGTTAAAGAATTGGAAAAAACAAACAATTTAACAATAAGTCGATTTATACAAGATAGTTTAACAAACCTCTTTTTACCCAACGCTATACCAGTGAATAAAATAGTTTTAATGCTTTCAGATGCTGCGGCATATATGTTAAAAGCTGCTGTTAATTTAAAAATTTTTTATCCTAATTTAATTCATTGCACTTGTGTAGCCCACGGGGTAAATAGAATTGCTGAAGAAATAAGAAATCTGTTTCCGTTGGTAAATAATTTTATAAATTTTATGAAAAAAGTTTTTGTAAAGGCTCCGTTGAGGGTGCAAATATATAAAGAAAGACTTCCCGGTGTCCCTTTGCCACCTAAACCAGTAATTACAAGGTGGGGAACCTGGCTCGAAGCAGTCTTTTTTTACTTTGAACACTGCAATGAAATAGAATTAGTTATGTCAGAATTTGATGATGATATTTCCGAAGCCATTCGAGAAGCAAAAAAAATATTAAAAAAATCCCAAATTGAAACAGGAACTCGGTTATATCAATGACAATTATAAATTAATAGTTACCACAATTACCTTATTAGAAAAACAAGAGATAAATTTATGTGAGTCAGTAAAATTAATAGATAATTTAAAGACGAAAATTAAATCGGCACCTGGAAGTAACGGTCAATTAATTTTTAAAAAAATGAAATATGTTTTCGACAAGAATGAAGGTTTTTCGTTTTTATCTAATGTTGCTAAAGTTTTGAATGGGACATTTTCCGAGGAATTTCAAATTATGCCAGATTTATTATCCGCTCTGAAATATGCTCCAATTACATCTGTCGATGTCGAACGTTCGTTTTCAATGTACAAATTAATTTTAAGTGATCGAAGACATAGTTTTAAGACCGAAAATATTGAAAAACATTTAGTTGTTTCTATTAATGATAAAATTTTAAGTGGTTACAATGTTTAATTATTAATTAACAGTTATTTAGTTACTAGTTTATTTATACTAATGTTATGATTATGATGTGTAAATATACTTGCCTTAAGTTAATATTACGTTAATTTACTTTGTACAATAAATAATAAGTTATATTCCTTTATTGCCTATATTTTGCCTAAATGTTAATATTCCTGCCTTTTTTAATAAAAATCTTTGCCTATATAGGCGCCTTTTTCTTCAATTTTTGTTGCCTATAAATCCGAGCTTTATTTATCACTAATTATGGAACCATGTCAGTGTTTACATTTTGTTATTCTGGGTTTGAATTCTTTTCTGCAGCTGTTTATCTTCTGGTAGAATTTTCGCGAGTCATTTCTATTGTGGTGTTTAACATTCTCCTTTAAAGCGTTTTCGTATGGCTTTTTCTTTTTCCCTCTAAACGTTCTTTTTTCTTTTCGTCTAAGATTTTCATAGTCTTCCAGGTTTGATCTTGTTCTGCGCTGCTGAAGTCTCTTATATGCTTCATTTTTCTGTTGATTAATGGATCTAAATTCTTCGTCAAACCAATCTTCGTTTGTTTTAGCCTGGTTAGGTTTTAAAAAGCCTTTTTCAGACGTAGATTTTGTACTCTGGCCCTTCTTAGCGTTTGATATACGAGCCCTGAGTTTTGTTTTTACAAGGTACTAGTCAGAGTCTGTATTAGCCAAGTTAAACCATTTTCGCAGGTTATGAAGGATTATCTTCTACTTCTTATTGGACCTCTTTTTTCAAGCACTTTACCTTGAAGTATGGTCCGAAGTATGTAATTTTTTATATCGAAATAAGTTAAATGTAAAATTTATCAATTAATTTCAATATTGATGCCTGTGATGTTGAACAAATCTTCTACCAGTGCAATGAGTTGGTTGAACAGCGTCTATTTACACTTTGGGTGGATTATTGCACAAAACTGAAGTTTTCTCGCGTTGGTTATATAAATACTGAGTGTGTGTAGTCCTAAATAGCTTAGCTTCTCTTAAGTCTCATAGGGGCGGTGCGTTCAGGACCGTACTAGTTTACGTATATAAGACATACACACACGTTAATTAAAGAATTAAATATAAAATAAAAATAATAAGAAAATACTTAATACAAAAATAAAATATATGTGTGAAGAGGCGGAACACCAGGTATTCGAGTTTAAGACGTTTTATGGTAATGAAGAGTTCTTTATTCTTTCTGTGAAGCACTTCTTTGATAATAACTTTATCTATCTAGGAAATCCTTAACATGCGTCTATAGCACCATATTTTAAACGCTTTGAGTTTATTCAGTGATGCTTTAGTTAAAGTCCATGACTCCACTTCATATAGAAGAACGAAGAATACTTAGAATTTTAGTAAACATTTTAGTGAATACGGATATCAGAAGCCATAATACAAGTAAACCAACAAAAATCTAAAGAGATATCTATTAGACGAGCAGTACGACAAAGACATGTAGTGTTTTCTTCACTTTTTAATATGCGCTCAGAAGAGATGTTTAAAGAGGCCCTAGAAGACGTAAATGAAGGCATCTCAATTATCGGAATACTAGTGAATAATCTCAGATATTTAGACGATACGATAATCTTTGCGGATAATAGAGAAGAGGCTGCAGATTTTTTGTAAATGCACTACGCACTACTGCGAGAGATATGTAATGGCTTTGAACACAAAAAAAAACAAAAATTATGATTGTCCGTAAGAACAAAACTGAAAACAAAAGAATCTGCTTTAAAGGAAAAGCTTTAGAGAAAGTATCCAGATACAATTACCAGAGAAGTGAACTAAATGTACAATGAAACCGTGGCGTTGAAATAAAATAACGCTTTAAGATGACCAGACTCGCTTTCAATAAGATGAGAGCAGTATTATTCCATAGAAAATTGGGAATAAAAATTGGAACTAGACTATTCTTTGTCCTGTTATATAAAATAGTACTATCAAAGAATGTGGAAAATATCAAGGACACAACACATAACAAAGTCGAAAACCTTAAGAAAAACGAAGAAAGAAAAAAATCACTAAACACTACGAAGGAACTAGAAATGAGCTATTTTAATCACATACTACGAAAAAAAATATTATATAACTTAATGCGATTGGTTACACAAGGTCTTGGAAGATAATCGCCAATGTTCTTAAAATATGGGTCACACTAATTAGAAGAAGATTAATTTGTTAAATTTTTCTTCAATGTTTGAATTTTAACGTTTTATTAATTTAGTGCTATTCTTATCTTTGTCAGGATTTTTTATTTTTTTTTTTATTTTAAATTATTAATTACATATATTTTAACGTAATTTATATGAATCCATACAATTGCGACCTTGGCGACAATACAGTTAGTATTATTCTAATAATATTAACTGTACAATTTATTCTTTTGATAAACTTCCCCGCCAGAATTGTATTTTATTACATTTTCTTTAATATAGTGTAGATTGTGAATATTATAATTTACTAAAATGCGTTTTAGGGGTCGTCGAAAACATCATCGCAGAAAAAAAATAGTATGGCCTCCTCCTTCAAATGCTACTCCAACTACTTCCACATATTTGAATTGGAACTTGAAGCCACTGCATATAGGAAACCCAAAGCTTGGCGACAAAATGCAACTTTTTTCTCAGACCGGTCATCATTTAGCAATATATGCTGATGGAGAAGTCAGGGGAACAAAAGATGAAAATGATCTACATAGTAAGTAAATTTAAAATAAAATCCTCCCTTAATTTTACTAAATCTAATGTTTCGAGTTTTATGTGTTTCAGTTTATTAACGATTTTAATTTTTGGCATCTAAAAATTTAGAAATTTGGTTAAGTATTGGTTACTGAGCTAGTGTATTAAATGAAAAATATAAATAGAAAAGTTTTAAAAACACTTACAGTAGCCTAAGATAGTAAAGAGGCACGAATTCTGGATGGGCAATGGCAAAATTAGAAAAAGTAGGGATAGCTTGCTGGTTACTTTGTGAAACGTTGTGATATAAACATGGAAAATGCGCGAAAACAACACCTTCTAAATCAGTAAACGCAAGAAGTAATCTATAACTTGCAACGTTAAGAAAGCAATTCGTAATTTAGGTTTTCGTTGAAAAAAAAATCAAAACCAATCGTCGTATTTTAAATATTGAACACATCACAAATTGTACGTTCTTGGCTCTACAGATGGATAGATTTACAGATATTTCCAACTGTGCCCAGTTTAAAACATTGATAAGGTACAATGGAAAAAGTGGCATCACAGGAGATATTTTATTTTCTTCTCTACCATAGGAGAAACTCTTACTATTCTCTACTATATACTTACTATTTTAGAAACCAATACTGCCGGAAAGTGTTTGTTTGAAACTTTTATACTTATAAATACCATATTGACTGGGCGAAATGCATAAATACATTTACCGATGAAGCCAAGCCTATGACAGGGCATCGAACTAGTTTTATTGTAAAATTGTAAGAAGAAATGCCAAATGCTAAATGACTGCACTGCTATTTACATCAAGAGGATCTTGCCTCAAAATCTTTACCTTCTGATTGTGTTTTAAACAGTATCATTAAAGTTGTAAACTACATCAAAGCAAAAGCATTACAAATTACATACATACATATATTTACATTTCTAAAAAAATTGTGAACATATGGGTTCTTTATATGCAAATCTTCTTTATCACATGGAAGTAAGATGGCTTTCAAGGGGTAACGTCTTGAAAGAAGTTTTTTAGTTAAAAGCAAAACGTTTGATGAATATTTTCAAATTTCCTTTGGCTTCTTAGGCTAGCTTTCCTTTTTACTAGCCAATTTATTCTAACGGATTTAGTTCTAAGTTAACGGATTTATGAAAAAAATTGATTTATGGCAGATTTCAATTAAAAAATAATAATTTTGATTAATTCCAGTGCTTTCAGGAACTCATGTAAGAGTTAGCAAAGTATTATAATACGATGAATTTTGAAGAAGTTTTTACAATGTTACTATTTTGAACAATTATTTAAAATAACTCTGTGAACATTTTTTCAAAGAAATCAAAACAAGCTATGACAAGAACAGATATGTTCACAAAAAAAAACTGTAGTAAACTTAATATTTACTTAATGAAGTTAATAATTTTAGCTTACTTGGAAATACAATCGGGTGGTGATACAGGTCTTGTCAGAATATATGGTCTACTAGTAAAATTATACATAACTATGGATTCCCATGGTGGTTTATACGGACAGGTAAGTGATTCTTTTCAAAATAAGCAACACTGTATAATACAAAACAATATTTGTCAGAACAGAACATATTACCCCAATGTTTTATTGTTCTTAGTTGATCATTCAGTTTCCGAGTTTATCTTAGGATATTTTTCCCAGAAACAAAAATTTCTTATTATTCTTCAATTACAGAATTATCTTAAGAGATCACGGCCGATCTTTTCATTTTTTTCTGCTTTTCTAGGATGAATACAGTTAACGGAATTTTAAACTATAACTAATTTCCAATGCTCATTCTACCTTCCACATATTCTTAAGTATTCTTAATGTTAACTACAGATAACATTTCTGTATGTATGTACCATAATAAGATAAAGCTTCCAAAATATTACGACTAAATGAAATCGGAATGTTGTACGTCCACGCTTTGGTTTTGCATCACATTTTTGTGGGGATACATAATAGGTTTTACAATAATAATCTGTTCATCAGAATAGGCTTTGGTCACGCTAAGTTCAATTTATTAATTTTTCCCTAAAAATAAGTGATAGCAATTTTTTACTTAAACTTTAAAGAGTTATTCTCCAATAAATTTGTAGTTTATTGTCCAAATATGTTTCAAACCAATTGGGCTACCGCAAAGTAACAGCCTCAGCTTGATCCATCAAAATAACCCGTAAGTTTTTGAAAATTTAAGCTATTTAATAAGTTTTATATTATTTCCGCCTTATTTAGTAGTCATTTTTATTTTGATACAATATATTTAGCCACTAGTCACACTGACAAAAGGTTAGAAACATTTTTGTTGTGCTAAATGTATTGATGAAACTTGTCTTGTAGATGTTGTGTAAACACCTTTTGCTTTTTAATTTGATTAGTACCTATATTAAAAAAATTTACGACTTAAATCATTAGTCCCGGTTATGTGTTTTACCCTTAATGAACATCATAGATTATCAGATTTAGTTGTGTTATAGTGCATTCTTGAATCTTGTTGCTTGTAGTACGGCCGAAGCATTTATAGAGGTATTTTCTGTGTCTGAATGTAATTCGGCCGCCGCTCGTGAGACAAAGCGAAGATTCTTAGCCTCCATCCTTGACCTCGTGGTTATGGTGTGTACACCTACCACACTCCACGTGAAGCTCACTGGTGGCTCTCTAGTCCTCGAAGGCCCACCGACCATTTAGAATACTTTGACAGTTCCATAATTTCTTACTTGACGGTGTATTATTTTGTTACATGTATTGAATATTAGTATTTTAATTGCAGTGTACACGCTGGATTTCACAGAGATGCCAGCCCTTCACGTTTCGACGTGTGATCGAAGACACACCCCACAAGGTGTGTAAGAACACCGTAGTAGTGGCGACTCTGATGTTGGTGCTACGCCCCGCACGTTACCTCCCGCGGAAACAATTTAATGTCTTGAAAGACGTTGATTATTTCCGTTGAGAAGGTTTCTAACGGCGAAGCGTGACTTCAGCTCGGATATCGAGTGAGGAGATATTCTAAATCCACTTGGGACTTTTATTTACTCCTAACCGTCGGTGGTCCAGACAACAATGTCTCAGTTTGGCACCATCTGAGATAGGTATAACCTGTCTTTCCTCTGTCAAAGATCGATGCTTGCCCAGGTAGGGAATGTTCACTACGAGCTGAAAGTTTCTTTCGTAAGATGACAAGTTTACTAAAATATAATTATACTTTGCTTCACCTCGACGAAACAATAACCAACATTCGCTACTCCGATTCCTACACCTTCTTGTGAATGCTTCGTAGTCAATTAGACTTCGTTCGTATTCACTGTGAAAGCGTTCGGACTCTTCTTCAAAAACGATGTCTTCACAAAGGTTCACTCTTGAGTAATAATAATAAACTAAATTATGCCTATTACTGGTATGAAAAATAGACCAGCTCTCTGTTTACGACAGCGCTGCAAAAAAGTGTTTACATGATGCCATTACCATGCTTGCTCTGTCGTGCCATTGCGACTAGCGTAATTTGCTGGATACGCGTAAACCTGCCTTAAAGCGCTACGAATTGGCGCCCGAGCAAAAATAAAAATGCCGCTTCGTCCAGCAACGACAGGAAGATCGACTTAGATTCCAAAAGATCCATCAAAGATTTGAGATTAAGACTAAGAGATTTTTTTCAAAAATCGCGAAAATTTGACAAGAGCCAAATGGGAACTGAATTCGAAGAAGAACCAAAAAAGAAACCCAACTTGAATCTAAACCGAATGAGACCCGAATAAAAACCGAACCGAATAGGAACTACATAGCAGCAGGCCATTTAAGAAGTGCAACAAACGTTTGTCAAATAGCATAAAAATGCTGATCTGGTTATGATTAAATAGTATGCTATGTTAGAAATTATAAGAAAATGCCTTTCAGGGTAAACCGTCGCAGATGAAGCTAGCTGTAAAATGAGACTATAATGCAGTAAAAATCAAATATAGTAAGAACAAAAGTACTTTTCTACCAGAGTCTGTCTTATGTTCGAGTGAAGGATAGAGATGAAGATAAAAGCTTTTACTCTTATCAGTTTTTAATTTTTAACCATCTAGTTCAATTTTAGTAGGGTAAGATTAAGTTTTAGTAGGATATTCAAATTAATCTACTCATAAAATGTTCGCAATTTGGTTAAGCTTACATGTGTATTATTGCTTTTCTTCAAGCATTAAGTGCTAACTAAATTATGTTAGTTTAAGTTCGTCCAATGTCTGCATCTAGAATGCATGTAGAAAAATAATTGAAAAATTCTGGCTTAGGTAACTTTATTTACGACTATGCATCCTCTCCTTTGTTTTAATTTATTTTGAAATATAACCATGGAAATGAGGTAATTGTCTTTTTTGATCACTTTACCCAAATGTTCTATTTTTCTACTTTTAACTGTGCAGAGCAGTTTTTGCTCTTGTTGGTTCTTTTGAAAGCTATGAGTTTGTTACTGTTTGCTTTGTTATGATCCACGTTAATTAAATACTCAAATTCTAACCTGTATCTTAATATGCACATTCTAAACATCAGTTTCTATTCTATATAACATCGGTTCTTCCTCAATTCTAATACAGAGGTTTGTTACCCACTTATGGCCCAAGTTGCATCTCATAGCTTAATAATGTCAGTCTATCAGATTAAATATTGATTACAGAAAGATCATCAAAAAGGAAAAACAATTTCGTTGAAAGGCAGGTTATTTTGCATGATAAAACCATAATAAATTAAACCAATCAATTGTAGACACCTATGGACCACAATAGCCTTGTAAATATATGTTTCTAACGCGTTTTATTGTATTATTATTTTTAACTGATCAAGCTTTTACTTAAAATTTTTTTGATATTCGATCATATCTATTTTTATTATTATTTTTAGTGGAACCGTAAGTTGGAGTCAACAGTTTTTATAGAAGCATTCCAGGCCTCATACAACACATACTTGTCCAAACCACACGCCCATTCTCGATGGTACATCGGTATACAAAGAAACGGAAAGATCAAAAGAGGGCCGAGAACAGGATTTGGGCAGAAAGCAATAAAGTTTTTACCAAGAAGATCACGTTTTGAATAAGGATAGAATTTTATATTTTATTTCTTAATATACCTATGTATTTTTTTCTATACAAAAAAGATAACGACCAAAGTATAAGGGGTTAAATAAATGTATTTTAATAAAAAAAGATATTGAAACTTTACAATATTCTTCTTCTTCGTCTTCTTGATGTGCCTATCCGTTACGAATGTTGGCGATCATCATGGCAATCTTTGTCTTATCTGCAGCAGCGCGGTAAAGCAGCAATATTTTTTCTTGCAGGATGGCTTGAAGGAATCCTATCTGGATTCATTTCGCATAATATGTCCGAAGAACTGTAACTTTCAAGATTTGATGGTGGTCAGTACCTCTCGATTCTTATTCATTCTTCTGATGACCTCCTCATTTGTGACTGGGTCAGTCCACGAGATCTTAAGCATTCTCCGATATACCCACATCTCAAATGCTTCCAGTTTTCTGCACATATCTTCGTTCAAAGTCCACGATTCAAATTTATATCCTATACAAAATTCACGCCCAAAAGCAAATAAAATAAAATGCCCGTAAGCGGAATAAGTGATATGGAGAATATAAAATTCCTTCAATTTAATCAATTTAACCACACGAATACTAGATATGCTAGCGCGCATATCCAAATTAGTTTAATCGTTTATTTCTCATATGATAATATGTATACTGCGTAATATAACTTTATGAATACTATATTTTATATTGCAATTAATAAAGAAAACTTTTATGTAGGTTTTATGTTGTGGAAATTGTTCTTTACCTCGTAAAACTATAAATATTTAATATTTTTATATATCTGTCAACCACTACCTGTTCAATAGTCAGTATTAGATGTTGATTTATTATTTGTTAATTGATGCAAATTATAAACTTGTTTCTGTGAATTATTTCTAAAAATTAAATTATTTATAACCTATTACCTTCTTTTATTTCTCTTTGTGCTGTATAGTTCCTGTTACTACATTGTAACGTATGTACTGATCATACAGTTACAATGGCAACTCATGCCAAACAAGGCTGTTTATACCATACCTAGTCATCTAAAACAGGGGTCACCAAATGGCGGACCGTGAGTTTGTTTACGGATCGCCGTTAAATTTAAGATCTTTATAGTAAAATGCAAACCATCACGAAGATAGTGAACTTTATACATGCAAAATCATCTTTGAGGCATCGTCAATTCAAATCATTCCTAGAAGACGCTAATGCTCAGTTTGACGATTTGCTTCTTCATAACAACGTGAGATGGCTGAGCAAAGGTTTATAGCTTGAAAGATTCTTTGCAATACTTGAAATCATAAAAGAATTTCTATCCACTATTGATAATGAAGCTGTAAATGACCATTTGGACTTCCTTTTGGACACAGAACACTTTATCTGCATTATTTGCTATCGCATTTTTGGCGAATATCTTCAGACATCTGAACTTCTTGAATTTAAAACTACAATGCAAGAGAAAACTTGTTTGTGCACTTCTGTCGGATATTAGAAGCTTTTCTAAAACGATTAAACTTTCTTCTGGGGATATTAAGGCAAAAGTTTTGCATTTTCCTCTCCTTAAATCCTTGTGTGATAGAAATAAAGATATTGATGTTACCCACTTGATATTATTGAACTTGATTTGAAAATTAAAAAACGATTTTCTGATTTCCACAAATTTGAAAATGTGCAACTGTTAAGCAACAGATTTTCACTCAAGTCTAATGGTGTATGGGCCAGCGAAGCACCAGACGTGTTTAAGAGTAACAAAGCTGCTCTTCAGATCGAAATGATCGAGTATCAGGAAGATTTCGTTAAATTGTACAGAACTGCGGTTGTAAACAAACGCTGTTACTAACATTTAAATGTTTAAACATATTTAGATAGGTTCCATAAAATTGTTGAACACTATAGTTGCATAAAGAAAACAACCAAAACCAATATAATAGCTTTATCATTATCTTTTTCCTTGAGTTTATTTCATACTTCTTCCTAAACGAGGTGACCTCGTTTTCTGGTTTCAACTACGTAACACCAGGATGATTTCCTGAGAAGAACTTACAACTACTGGAGGGTTTCTGGGTAACCCCAGAAACCCTCCACCTCCTTACGCCCCTGCCTGGTTTAGTGCTGACTGTCTGGACCACGGAAGTCTAGTAGATTTTTGAAACGGGCCCACATGGAATATAATTGGTGACCCCTGTTCTAGAATATAAAGAATTAATGAACACTGGTACACAAAGTGCTCGAAGGCACCGTTGGCGTTGCTCAGTCCTGATAGATTATGGGTAGGTTTGTTCATAGAGGTGAGAAACACAAGAAAGTATAGCAACAAAACAACAATAAAAATAGGATCATAATGAGAGCGACAGTCGCATTTTCACACTAAACGTAAAAAACTAGAAGAAAAGTTTATAGTGAATTTATAATAGCTATATATCATAAATGAATGGAATATGAAAGTTGGAATAGGATCGTTAAAGCATTCAAAATAAAACAAATAGATGCCAAATAGACATTATACAAAACGAATGGTTATAATTATGTTCTTACAATATTTCTACAACTCACCGTTATGGTAATAATCTAAAATTCCAGCATTACTGATAACGCCAAACATTTCTTCCGGTTTCTAAAGACATTATTACCGGTAAAGATAAAAAGATCAATGAACAAAAAAATAATTGATATCTTATCTCATGTAACATACCTACCTACTTCAATCTAGTATAGTGCAAATCAAATTAAAGTATTCCATATTTATTAGTACTTATTTCTGTTGTTTATATAAGCATGTGTTTTGAATAACGTATGACTACTGCTGGTGCTATTTGTGCATTTTTATTACAAACTTTGTGTTAATTGTTAATAAAGTATTTTTGATGGCAAGTAAGTAACATTTAATGTCTAATATAGTTTTAGTTTATATTCATTATAATGTGGCTGTTGTTTTAAATGCCGAGTAATATCAGAGGTGGATCTTAAACTTTGCGAAATGGTGTAAAAAACTTTTACCTGCACAAAGGAGATTCTAAAAAGAAAATTAGCAATTTTTTATATTTTATTTTTATCAGTAGAGTTGAAATGATAATCTAAATGGTTCTTAAACCAAGGTGAACCAATAACAGCATCATTTTTTTCTTAGACTGATGTTTTCTACCGAAAGTTGGTGATCATCATGATTATTTTCCATTTACTGATGTTCTAAAACATTTATTATTCACCTCCGTTGTTTCTTTTAAAAGACTACACAATATTTCTTAAGTGTTATTATCAAACTAAAACTTTTTCTTCAAGGTCTTCAAGTACTGTTCGAGTTTTTAAGTAATTTAAAGTTATGTTAAAGTATTTTCCTACCTGCTTAACATACATTAAATACCAGAGAATATTTCGCTGTAGTTTCCCTGTTATCTGATCTAACTACTTTCTCATGAAATTTATCAGTATCTATCATACCTGTTCTAACACTAGTTCTCACTAATATCTCACTGTCCTAATACTTATTTCTATATACTAATTTAGATACCCTTTCCGCTAAGTTTGACGCGTTTGTATGCACAGTTCAACTTCTTAAAACGCACATTATTTGTATTGCCGAAATGCTTATAACATCAATTCCTGACTCCTCTATTAATATAAATGGACATACAATGTATCCTAAAGAGAGAGAAAATCGTGTAAATTAATAACCAACCTTCTACTTTAGATACTAGTGAATATCAACGACGAACAGCTGATTTCATCTCTCGAAATCTATCTATCTTATAGGAAGGCATATCATGCAGTGATACGGCTCACATTCAGTTTAATCAAATACTATCCTGCAAAAGAAGTACCTATGTTAACATATATACATATATATATATATATATATATATATATATATATATATATATATATATATATATATATTATATATATATATATGTCCACTGCTGAACGTAGGCCTCCTGTAAAATTTTCCACCTATTTCTATCTTGAGCTTCTTGCATCCAGTTTATGGTGATGAGCTTGATATCATCCATTCATCTAGTCGGTGGTCATCTTCTGCTTCGATATGAATCTTGCCTTGGTCGCCATTCCAGAATCTTTCTGGCCCATCTATCATCCGTTAATCTGGCAAAATGTCCGGCCCAAGCCCATTCAGCCATGGCTATTTTTTCAACTGCATCTGTGACTCCTGTTCTTTTTCTTATTTCTAGGTTTGGTACTTTATCTCTGATCTTCTTCTGCACGTGCCATCTCCGCTACGAAGGCTGGCTATTATCATGGCAATTTTGACCCTGGAGGCTGCCGCTCGGAACAATTGTATGGAAGTGCAAGGAAACCACTCCCTGAGGTTTCTCAACTATGACATTCTTCTCCTACCTATGCTGCGCCTACCTTCAATCTTTCCTTGCATAATTAGTTGTAACAGTTAATATTTATTCCCACGTGTAATATGTCCCAGGTATTGTAGTTTCCTCATTTTAACACTCAATACGACCTCCTTTTGTTTGTTCATCCTGTCTAATACAACTTGGTTAGTAATCTTATCCTTCCAGGAGATTTTTAACATTCTTCGGTACGCCCACATCTCAAATGCCTCCAACTTGCCCATACATTGCTTATTTAGTGTTCACGCCTCCACCCCATATAACAGGACCGAGAAAACATAACATTTAAGCATTCGTATTTTCAGCTTTAGGCTTAGGTTTCGGCTACACAACATTTGTTTCATGTTGTTAAAGGCACTGCGGGCTTTCTCTATTCTTATTCTTATTTCTCTGGTGTATTCGTTTGACTCGTTAATATTTGTTCCGAGGTAATTGTAATTTTGTACTCGTTCAATGAGATTCTGTCCTACATGTAAGTTGATATTATTGATACGTTTCTTTGTAATTATCATGAATTTGGTCTTCTTTGTATTCAGTGACAAACCAAATTCTTCACTTGCTTCTACCACTTTGTTTAGTAATCTCTGTAGGTCTTCAATATTGTCTGCTATGAGCGCAATACCATCAGCATATCGGATATTGCAAATAGGGTGACCGTTGATCTTTACTCCGGCTTTTTCGTTCATAAGAGCTTTTTTAATAACTTCTTCCGCGTAGACATTGAACAAGGTTGGAGACAACACACAGCCCTGCCGAACACCTCTTTTGATCTGTACTCTATCTGATATCGAGCTGTTAATTCGTACTGTAGCTTCTTGTTTGTAGTATAGATTCCTTATCACTCGCATGTCCCTTGTATCAATATTTTTATTTTCCAGTATTTGCATCAGTGGCCTATGTTTTACTGTATCAAATGCTTTGTTATAGTCTAGGAAACACACAAATATGTCCTGATTTACGTCTAAGCATCGTTGTGTTAGAACATTAAAAGCAAACAGTGCCTCTCTAGTTCCTAGTCCGTCTCTAAAGCCAAATTGAGAGGGTCCGATGTCAACTTCCAATTTTTTATATATTCTCCGATGAATGATTTTTAAGAAGACCTTTAATATATGACACATGAGACTGATGGTGCGATGTTCCGAGCATTGTCTCGCATTAGACTTTTTGGGTATGGCTATTATTGTTGTTACTAGCCATTCATTAGGTATGATACCAGATTTGTAAATGCTGTTAAATAGTTCCACGATCTTTATTAAGTTGTTGCCTTTGATGAGTTTAATTATGTCTATTGGTAGTTCATCTGGGCCTGTAGCCTTCCCCGACCTCATTTCTTTAATCGTGTATTCCACTTCATCTCTTGTTATTTCTGGTCCTGTGTCACTGTTTATCTCTGATGGCTATACCTAATATTGATCTTTCCATAGCGCGTTGTGTAACTCTTATTTTA